GCCACAGCACTCTAGCCCCGGCAACAGAGTGAGACTCGGTCTCAAAAAAGGGACAAAAAAGAAATTTATATCAAATGGGCTATCAAATATCTAATCTGATAACCACTAGAACTAGAAATAGATGCATTTTTCCTTGCATGGAAACTATTATACCATTAGTGATCTGCTGCCCCTGTATAGACAAAAATCGGATTCAACACATGTGCCTGAATGGTACAGGCTTTTTCGAGTTTTGACTACTTAACTATCAAGTACCACCTGGTGACCCAACTTGTTCAGCATGTGTCTCTATTCAAAATATGGTGAAACCTTCATTCATATGGAACATGGGTATCATTTGGCTTCAGCCGGCATGAACACAACTGTAAATGAGATAGTAAATGCTGATGAAGCATTAAATTCACATTGCAGTTTTCCATTGTGAATTGGTCTTTAAGATGATATGGAATAAATACCCTTACATAACTGTAAGATTACTATCAAAATGTATGCTAAAATTAAAAAAACATATAAAGAGAAAATTCCCAGCATCCTAAGAATATAAATATGTGGATCCCTAAGAAATGAACAGAGAAATCAATTAATGAGGATCATGAAGGGTATGGACTTAAGCTAAGTGACAAAGAATGAAGACTTAATGAAGAAAGCCAATGCCTTTAAAATAAGAATTAAAGTAAGAGAGGTCATCGCAGGCATGGAGAATCTGCCCCATCTGAAGAGTATGGACTGGAAAGTAATGGGAAATAACACTGTATTGGGAAACCAGCAGGTAGAATTAATATTGGACATGGTTAGAAGTCAGAAACTAGCTTTGAAAAAGAAACTTCTAGTTGGTTATGGACTTAAGGCGGGAGCAAAAAGAGCATTTTCCCCCAATAAATATTAGTTTAGTAAATGATTGGACTATTTTGTCCTAACTCAAATAACATGGGAAAAATTATAAACAACACTAAAAAGAGACAAAAAAATTCTGAAGCCAAATATCTTAAAAAGCTCAGTTGAAGAGACAAACAGAAGACTTTACTCTCAAATGTTTAAAAATTTTTTTAGTAAATAATTACTTTCATTCTGATGCCATACCGGAAAATTGAATAATCCCTCCCATGCTTAAAAACATAGAATGTCCATATGAACTGAGGGTTTTTGTAGTATGGTGTAACAATAATGAATATAGTTAGTGAATAACAACAACAATAATAATAACAATAGCAAACATAGTTAGAACACAGAAAGTTAGAAAAATTCTTCATTTCATGTTAATATCAAATAGAGGAATTTCTTTTTTTATTTATGATTCAACAATAACCATACACCTTAGATTCTTGTTTTATATAAGTGTCAGTGCATCAACCAGTATTGTCAGAGCAAGTGACCTCAAAGCAATGTGTATGAAAGCTATCTTAACTTTGTATTCACAATGGAGTCAATGCACACCCATTTAAAATAAAACACTGTTTATGTTAAGCCTACCCAGTAAGGATAATTTTCCAAAAAGTGACTTCGAAGGATGAAGAAAAAAACCCATAAACCTTTTCCCTAAATAAATTCTAAAGAACGTTTAGAATTTATATGACTTCACTTGATTTATTATTATTCATGAATAGAGCAGGTAACAATTTTCAAAATAAAATTTTTCTGTTTTCATTTTCTTCTTTAAAATTGGTACTTTCAATATAAATATCGCACTGCTAAGTTTCTGTTAGAAAGGATGTGTGCCTTAGACTTCTACTACCAAGAATGATCAGGATTTGTGAACTACCTTAGAAGTATAGTCTAAAACCAAACAAAAAACACAAGCTGATTGATCCATCTGGAGCATGAGATCATGTTCCTAAGAAAATTATTAACCAACCACAAAAATTAAAAACCCATTATTTTTCACCAGTCTTAGCCATAAGAATTTCCCTTTTTTACAAGGTAGTAAAAGCCATTAACATACCTAGTCTTAATTAATCAGCCTTAATAAGTGCCAAAAGTTAAATAACTATAATCTACATACCACATGTTGAGCCTATTGTATAAAATTGGCTCCATTCATTTGTAGACAACCAATCAAAGGCTTTTAAGATTTGCAACAGCTCAACCTTTTCCCCCAGGTTGCTTATCACATAAAGTTCAATTTTTTCTTAAGAGACTAAAAATAGCTACATGCTCTTTGCTATTAAAACAATCAAGTCACAACTTAATTGTTGATCTTGAATTGATCTAGATTTTGATTGAGTTCCACTTTAGGAGTTATAAAAACCAGGCTAAATTATCTGAATTCTTTCCTTGTTTAAAAGAAAGATCATCCTTATGCCATTCCATTCGGATGAAAGCCTTTCTTTAATTTATATATTACTGGGGCATTAGTGAGTTCAGTTTTGTTTGGGAGACCATTTGCAAGTAGCTCATCCAGCTGGTAAGCTTTGGTTGACATCTGATAGTCAATTGCTCTTACTTAGTTAAGTCCTAGGAGTTTCTGAAAAGACCCAAAATAATGAGAATAACTTATGTGTGGACTACTTTAAGGTGTCTACTTCTAAAGACATTTCACGGATTCGATTTGCATGGATCAATTGTCCACTTATAAGTAAAATGCCTCTCAGTGAATACTATGAATAAGTGGGATTTTAAAAAGATTTTTATACCAGACTCTTTTCTTTAGGAATGTAACACTGAGATTATAATGCAGTTTAATGGGAAAACATATTCTCCATAAAACTGTTAGCTTCATATATTACTTTACAGAAACAAATTAATACACAAAAGACAAAAACCATAAAGGTAATTTTTTATTGACATGATGTTGACTTTTGCAATATTTTTTCAGTATATTTGATAGGATTCAGCATATATGTCCGTGGTTTTTCCAGGGCCATCTTTTTTTCTTTTATAGTAGGCTCTATAGCTTTCTTTCTTTTTTTTTTTTTTACTTAAAAAAGGTGAATTTTATGGTATGTGAATTTTATGGTATAACTCAATAGTTATTTTAAAAAACGACATAAAAAGTACTGGCTGTGTTGGTGCTGACCATTTGTACTAGCACATTAGGCACATTTCCCCTTCAACACCCCCCTAACTCTTAAGAACTTGGCCTCTACTATCTTCCATTTTTTCTTATAATTTTTTTACAGTATGCATATTTTATAGAAATAGGAGGTAGATCCACATTTTAAAGGGAGAGAGAAAAGAATCTGGACTCTTAAAATAGAAACTTCGCATTCAAGAACACTAATACAGATTGGCTGACACCCTGAAAGACTGGCTATCTGTTTTACTGTGGGCCAGTCGACTTCAAACTCAGGAAAACCCCCAACTTCAGTCACAGAGGGAATGAGCAGTAATAGTAGCTATTGTTTACAGGCCCAGCCCTGTGCTTAACCCTGTGTCTATCTTCTCCAGCAATAACCTTGCGTGGTGTATGTTATCACCACTTTATAGACCAGATACAGTTTACATAGCTGAGTCCAAGACTGCATATAAGCTCTTCTCCAATAACATGAACACTACCTGAAAGGCAAGGCCCATTGAAGGTTGAGCAAGATGCCACCCTGGTGTTAACAGTAACAAATTATAATAAACTCTGACCCAGAAACTGCTGAAGAACAGGGTCTAATATTTACTGGTAAAGGGTAGATATTCAAAGATGACCCAACTTCTATTGTTGTCTTGTGTAGATAAGTTTATTTCTAGGGACCAAGCTCATTTACATTCTACTTCATACGGTACACATTAACATTAAAAGGTACATACAAATGTACCCCACAAACATATACCTTCACTAACTGGGAGAGAGAAACAAGCAAAACTAATTACAAGAAAACACAAATAGAAGAGATGAAAGTGGCAGTCTCTGGGCAGCAGGACTGGGAGATAGGAGAGGTGGGGCTACCATACTGTAAGCAGTACTATTACCACTAAATTCATCAATGAATTGATATAATTCATGGCATTGAAGTGTTTAAACCTGAGTGCAAGTAATATTATGATATAATAAGACTGAAGTTGATTAATAAATATTTAAACCAAAACCAGCTGTTTGAGCATTCACTATATGTAAAACACTGTGCTGGGAGATCAGGAAGGGCCCAAATATTAGATAAATTTTTAGTTTCTAATTCTGAAATTCATAATTCCATCTATATTAACCCATTTTGGAAAGTATACATCAAAAGAGCAGAGATCTAAATAATCAATAGAAAAAATATAACATTTACGTTGATTGAATTTTCTTTTACACCTATGAAATGATTTTATTTCTTAAAATGTAAAGACCGTCAATTTTCCCATGTCTTCTTAGATCATCATGGAAATAAAATTTGTATTAAATTGAGAAAAGCATGAACAAAACTAGCCACACCCCCAACTGCCAAGAAAAACTACTCTTATTACCTTAGAGCTACAACACAACCACACTTCTACCTCTATATCCTGCCTCTTTCAAGCTGAACAAAACAATGTGCTTCTACAGGAACTCTAGGCCAGATAAGACTTTTAGAGGGGGAAAAAAGCATTTTTACCTTTTTCTCCCCAAACCTTTTTGGTGTCAAAGTTAAAAGTTGTAACATGTTACATTTGTTTTACTTCTTTGGGGAGGGAATAATTTGCAAAACTACATTATTTTATATACTTTTATTATTCAGTTAGAAAACTTGTTGCTCAATATGCAAATCTCAAACTGGGGAGAGAGGGAGGAAATGAAGCTCAACAAACACAACAAAATAAAGTTGCTCTGCTATGTTGAGGCTGCCAGGCTTTTTGTTACTCTACTTGAAAGTAAATGTGACTTGTCTATAGAGAGTGCTGCTTCAGCAGTTCCAAATGAATTTCAAGCTTGTGCTCCATATTTTCTCTTTTGTAAGTTTAATGTATTCAGCAACACTGAACTGACAATTTAAATAACTACATTTTTAAACAAACGAAGCATTGATGTTAATGTATGAAAATGGTCCAAACCCCTGGGAGTCTTGGTTCCCACCATTGTTTATTCTGACAACAGGATATAATTGCTTACTTACTTGGCAGCAAATTTAACCATCTGCTTGCTTGCATGGTCTCCCACTGCCACAAGAGCCTGGACGTTAAACTGCTGCTGACGTAGGACTAAGAAGCACTGTTTCCCTGAATAAGACAGAAAGAATACAAGTGTATTAAGGACATGCTACTTCAGGTTTTACAAAGAAGGAAAATGCTCTCTACTTTAAAATTGGGCCAAAATTTACTATATTCATCAGACACATACACATGTGTATCCATTTGATTTCTAAAGCCAAAACCCTCATATTCAACTGACAAGTCTTAAAGAAACCCAAGTTCCTATTATAAGTAACAAAAAAATGCTTTTAATGTGTTATAAGAACACAGGCAAATAACTACTTTAAAAAAATATTCTAAATCAAGAAAATTATTTTGTTATTGCATTTATAAACAAATTTCAAATAACTTCAGATCACTTTCAACATTCATTCAAAAGCTAGTATATACTACAGGCAAGGCACTGTACTAACTACCATGGATATTTCAATAATGTAGACACAAAAGTGCTAATAAAGTGCTTAATAACAAGGACACAAATGTTCTATGGTGATGGTCCATGTATAGAGTTCTTCCTATCAAAGTGCACTTAGATTGACGGACTAGTTCCTTTCTATTTTCCTTTATCACCTTCCTAATCCTTCGTTTTTTATAATAGTTCCACCACTTTTTTTAAAACTCTACATAACTTACTTTGTCTATAAAAAAATCATTCTAAGAACTATAACCAATTTCCTTTTTATATATCCTGAGCCTCTTGATTCCCTCTCTTTTCATAAAGAACTGACATTCCTTATTCTTAACTTTCTGAAAAATATCACTTATAATATATTTTAGTTACTAGTTATCCTGTGACATCCATCCCTTTTCCTCCAATGCAAATCCTTTTAAAGTCTCTGAACAAATCCTGGGAAATGACCACTTTTCACATCAGATTGTTTTGTAAAACATAAGATGATTACTTATGTATATGTGTGTGTATAAATATATATATGGTTTTTTTTTTGAGCTAGGGTCTCGCGATGTTGCCCAGCCTGGTGTCAAACTCCTGGCCTCAAGTGATCCTCCTCCATCCTCAGCCTCCTGAGTAGTGGGAACTACAGGAACCCGCCACTGTGCCTAGCTGAAGATTTTGGTTTTTAAACTGAGAATTATCTTCTACATTAAGAATCACCCTTGCATGTTTGGGGGATGGACATGCTTGAAGCTCTTACTCGAGGGGAGAGGGGGGCATGGGCAATATAATTAACCTTAACACTTGTACCCCCATAATACGCTAAAATAAAAATAAATAAATAAAATTAAAAAAAAAACAGAATCGTCCTTGCAAAAAGAAAAAGAGAAAAGAAAGCAATAATGTAAGCAGACTTACAGTTATTACTTTCAACATACACACAATTTGAAATGCAAATCAGATAGCAATTGCGAGCAAAAAAAGCCAGGTTGCAAACAAAGTATTGACACAGACATAATCTATTGCCTTCGAAGTCAGGTATGATTGACAGGTTTTTAATCAACAAAAAGACACTTTCCCTTTTCTTTTTGAGTATGATCAGTCACAAAATATATTATCCTAGGAACTACTACTAACTTACAGCCAGACATCACCCCACTTAGAACAGAATGGTAGCATGAAATGGAAGATGCATACAACAGCGCTGGGCTTAGCCACCATTTAGTCAGAGTACTTTAGCTGCTCTAACAGTGCAGACACAGGCTGCACAGACTCAGCTGTCAGCCAGTGATGAACTCCAATGCTACACAAAAGACCTAGAGAGAGAATGGAAAGCTCTAAAGGACTTACAAAGAGTGGGCACAAGAAAATGTCTATAGGTCAGCACTAGGGGTTAACATTTAGAGTAACTGTTTAGTGAAAAAAATAATAAAAGCTTTGAAATCAAAAGGCCTGGGATCATATCTTATCACTTCCTATGAAGAGGACTGGGGGAAAATTACTAAACCATTTTATGCCTCAGTTCTTCATTTATAAAATGGAAAACATGATAGTATACTACTCATGGGTCTCTTCTATAATCTTGACGATTTTACAGTATGTTTGAAATTGTAACAGACTCCAATTAATGTTAACTATTAATTATTATTAATAGCACCACTACTACTGGCTACCTATTTAAGGATTATCATTTCCATTTTACAGCAAGATGATTATACAGAAAAACTATGCTGGGTGCTGGGAACACAAAGGTAACTATTGGGTAGACACTTGTGATAGACTATTAGATGGAAAAAGGATGGTGAAATTATAAGGAATTATTCTGTTCTTTGTATTTTCTGAATTTTCTACAATAAATACATACTGCTTTTCTAATCAGAAAAAAATATTTTTAAGAGAACTGTACAGAGAGGTAAGCATGGAAGAAAGGTAGAGGCTGAAGGGAAATCTTGGCTAGGTTCAAGCAAAACTAAACACAAGCAGTAAGTAGAACCTAGGAAGGTGTAGGAGGCTTAAACACAGAAGCAAACATACCTCCTAAGATTTGACATGCCTGCCAGAGAGAAATAATGAAATCAATGGTTATGGGTGAAGTAAAGAATGCTCACTGTTCCCTTTAAATGTTTAATGTGTTTAATATTAATAGATGTAATTATAAAAATTAAATCTCTTCCTATGGAAAAAAAAAAGGCAACAGATGGGGGAAAAGGGGGTAAAGTAGTGAGACAAGTCCCATGAGCATACTATATTATAAACCTACATAGCACATAAAAATGTACCAGCACAAAAATAGTTAGATCAATGTAGTTTAAGGAAGAATTGAGAACAGACTCCATCAGATAAAAGAAATTCTAATTTTAGATGGAATTCAGGAGATTAAAAAAAAAAACCAACAAATAAAAAAACAAGTAAAAAATGAAACAGAATATTGAACTGTACTATAGAAGAGGTGAAAACCTTAGTGTTTAAAAATGACAGCATGTCTATATAAATAAAACATCAAAAGAACAATAACACTCTGGGAAAAAAGTGTTTACTGAATAGCACATAACCTATACATAAAGATCTTAAAGATTTATGAGAAAAGAACATTGAGATCTAAATAGATAAATGAGCAATAGACCAGAACAGATAATATGACAGAAAAAGAAGAAAACTACAGTAAGTAAAAACAGTATAAAGAAAAAATGTTACTGGTAATGAAAGTAATACATGTTGAAGAAAATAATGACGACACATTATTTACCTCTCGAACGTGCAAAGAATTAAAAAAATATAACATTATCCAATGCTTGGGAGAATTAAACAAAAATGTTCCTTTATAACCTTCTCATGGCCCTGGTGTGATTCCATCCTGTATGGCTGTTCTCTGGAGCAGTCATGTATCTCCGTCTGCCTTCTTTCCTACCTAAGTGTGTGCCACCACCCCAGGGAAGATTTGATGGACATGGACATGAGCCCCCTGAGGCCCCAGAACTATCTTTTCAGTTGTGAACTAAAGGCTGACAAAGATGATCACTTTAATGTGGATAATTATGAAAATGAGCACGATCAGTTTAATAAGAACGGTCAGTTTGGGGGCTGGTACAAAGGATGAATTGCACACTGCTGAAGCAGAGGCAATGAATTATGAAGGCAGTCCAATTAAAGTAACACTAACAACTTTGAAAATGTCTATACAGCCAACAGTTTCCCTTGGGGGCTTTGAAATAACACCGCCCATAGTCTTAAGGTTGATGTGTGGTTCACCGCCTGTGCATATTAGTGGGCAGCACTTAGTAGCTGTGGAAGGAGATGCAGTTAGAAGATGAAGAGGAGGAGGATGTGAAACTCTTAAGTATATCTGCAAGGTGACCTGCCCCTGGAGGTGGTAGCAAGGTTCCACAGAAGAAAGTAAAATTTGCTGCTGATAAAGATGATGATGACGATTTTGATGATGAGGAAACTGAAGAAAAAGCTCCTGTGAAGAAATCCTTATGAGATACTCCAGCCAAAAATGCACAAAAATCAAACCAAAATGGAAAAGACTCAAAACCATCAACACCAAGATCAAAATCCTTCAAACAGGAAAAAACACCTATAACACCAAAATGACCTAGTGCTGTAGAAGATATTAAGGCAAAAATGCTAGCAAGTATAGAAAAAGGTGGTTCTCTCCCCAAAGTGGAAGCCAAGTTCATCAATTATGTGAAGAATTGCTTCCGGATGACTTACCAGTAGGCTATTCAAGGTCTCTGGCAGTGGAAGAAATCTCTTTGAGAAAATAGTTTAAATAGTTTGTTAAAATTTTCCATCTTATTTCATTTCTGTAACAGTTGATATCTGGCTATCCTTTTTATAATGCAGACTGAGAACTTTCCCTACTGTGTTTGATAAATATTGTCCATGTTCCATTGCCAAGAATCTGTTGTACAAAATGCCTGTTTAGTTTTTAAAGATGGAACTCCACCCTTTGCTTGGTTTTAAGTTTGTATGGAATGTTATGACAGGACACTGTAGTAGCAGTGGTCAGACATGGAAATGGTGGGGAGACAAAAATATATGTGTGAAATAGACTCAGTAATTTAAAAAAACCCTCTCTGATGGCAAGGCAAATTTGCACCATGCTTCTAAAGAACAATCTGGCAATAAGAATTAAAAGGCCTAAAAATGTTATCTTTGACATGTCTTGGAATATAGGTTAAGTAAATTAAGTATGAAAGACATTCACAATATTATTTATATAAAAGAATGAAAGTTCTATTATCATTTATTTCATATTTATGTAGTCTTTCTTCATTACTGGAACGGATCTACACATAACCAACACTATGGGCCCCACGCTTTCTGTGTTCAAAGTACTTCCAAATACTAGAACTCAATGGTCCACTTAAAAAGATTTCTGAAAGGCTCAGAACAAAAATCAGTACTAGTTTACCAGTAAATAGAACTATCTACTCAGACTATCTCTATCAAGTACTTTTGAGACCAAGCTTTTGCCATGGTTTAGTAAACAAAATTGTTCTTTCTCTGGCTTTGATTGGTGACACATTGTACTGTAATATTTATTATTAGTTCAATGTTTTACAAAACACTACCTTAAATATACTGAGAGATAAGGAGGAACAGTATGTACACGATCCTTTTTGTATGA